CTCCTTTTAGGGCTGTCCCCTGATATTTACCTCCGTAATCAAGAAAAAGTGTGCTACAAACACACGTGCACATAAATACACACACACACACATCCCCTTCATGCTCTCTCTCTTTGGAAAGCAGATGAACTAAATTGCCTGCAGATTATGAGCTGGATCCATAGCTGATATCAGTCAATGTGGCTCCACTCATGCAGGAACTGTTCCTGTCAAAATTGAAAACCACCCCAGGAGACTGAATATCCATTCATTTTAATCTTAGCTGGGCAGTTATCATCCTTAGTTAACTTTTCAAATGTAAGATTTGACATCTGAACTTTAATCCCATACTTTGGGAAAACAAATAAAAAAGCCATTAGTACCTAGATAAAGAAGTTGGCTATGCATAACTCTCTATTATTATTCAATCAGATGCTCCTCTGAGAAGATGCAGCTTCTATTAATTCACCGTTTGCTTTGTCTGTGTTCCTGACATGTTCAGACTACAGAAGATGGTGCTGAATGAGTTTTGTTGCTGACACTTTTATGCTGTGTGATTCACAACAATGCTGCAAATCTGAGTAGAGATTTTTACAGTTATTTAGGAACAATCAGTTTGAGTCAGGCACTCAAATGCCTTTTAAAATGTGACCACAAGGTGCCAAGGAAAACATAAACCTGCAAATGTAAGGACAGATCCTCACATTCCTCAGTTTCCATTAACTCATCTTTTCTCTGCAGAACACTGCAGTCTTTTTGTGAAGGTGCTTTATACAAGCTTAGTGATAACTTTGTTATGTTCTTATTGTGGTATAAGTCTGAGTCAAAATAACACCACCAAAGTCATTGGGAGGAACATCATTTATGCTAGCTAATAATGTGCTCTCTTTTGTGCTGATCAGTGGAGATTAAATAATGCAGTTACAGAAGTATCAAGGACTCAACAAGGAAACATTTTGCATGACGCTTATATTACTAAATAAACATTTTGCATGGTGCTTATATTACTAAAACAAGAAGGGAAATTGCTGAAGATATCTGCAGCCTAATGGTGAATACATGTGGGGATCAAGAATCCTTGGTCAGATAAAAGGAAAGGTATAAATTGATGAGTTCTCCTAATCACAATTACAAAAGGAATTGCTAAATACTCTTTTTATTCTGGTTTCCTATGGAAATGATGTAGAAGGAGATCTCACCACCATCATGTGCATTTGTCTGTATCTGTCCCAGTATCTTCCCAATCCACTGGCCAATTCTACTCAGTGCTAGCACAGGAACAACGAGCTCAGATATGATTATTTTTTACAATCCTTGAGAAAATAGGCAACTGTGGAGAGGAAAAAAATGTGTAATTGTTGCAACTGAGTGAGAGAAGGAAACAAAAATCTAGGCATTATATCAGAGAATTTACATGAGATTGAGGCCACCGGGAAAGATTTAATTCATACTCATAGCTTCAAAAAATCAAATGTGAGACTTACAGTCTTTGGAAGCCTGGTTTTACTAGTTTGGGGGTCAATCAGGAATGGAGCCAAATTATTTGTTTGGTGTTGGCCAAAAATATGGAGTTTATTGGTTTATGGCTATATTTTACTTTCCTCAGGCCAAATGGAGGAAAAAAAAGAAAAGAAAAAAAAAGAAAAGAAAACTTAATTTGTTTAAACAAACCTTTGAAAACAAAATATTTCATCTTCTGAGTTCTTTTGTTTTTTAATTCTATTTCAAACATGAAGCCAAACTAAATTTCAAATCTTAATGAAATAGTAGAAAAATTAAAGTTTTAACATCCAAAAGATTTTCTGTTTATTTCAGTTCAATAAACAGAAATTATCACAAGTTGTGAGTGGGCTATCATTTTGTAACTGTACTTCTTGTCCAAAAAATTCTTAGTCCGCAGAATTTTGCTGGGTTTGGTAGTGCATCTGCTGCTCTGTTGACTGCCTACAGATCATCAATACCTCATGCATATAAAGTCTAAAATAAAATTAACAGAGGGCCAAAAGTTTCAAATAATTCAGTAGAGTTAATTAAAAGGCTGGAGAATGGTGACACCAAAATGACATCAGTGAAAGCAGCTAACATAGGTAATTAATGCCATGCTTCAGGGAATACGCTGAATGCCTACTTGGTCAGAAAGAAATGTTCCCAGACCTCTGTGTGTAGCACTATGGAAATTACCATCAGCAGTTACTTGTGATTTATTGATGTGATGTTACCATCTGCCTCTCTAGAGCTAATTGCATATTCCACAGCTGTGCTCTCACTGCCCAGTCATTAGAAGAAGATGCCTTTACTGATATATTGAGCCTGACCAAAAATTCTGAGGTCATGTGCGTAGTGATATGACATACAGACTGAAGCAGTAATGGAGGGAATAGAGGGGATGGAGTATCTGATAAAAGCATATCATTAAGGTAAAATATCCTTTTCTAAATGTCACTGGTGCTCCTTCTCTTCAGTGGAAATAAAGCAAGACTGTGATATTAACTTCTATCTTGTATTTTCTTTGAATTGCTCAGCAGGTGGGTTATACTGCCTTAGATATGCTTAAACTCTTATGTCATCTTTGGGTACAGCCCTAGGCTTTGGCTGTACCTCTCTGAAAGATCATCTGTAGTCAATGATCAGAGGGTTGCAGCACCTCTGCTGTGAGGACAGGCTGAGAGAGTTGGGGCTGTTCAGCCTGGAGAAGAGAAGGCTCCAGGGAGACCTTCTAGCAGCCTACCAGTACCTGAAGGGGCTCCAGGAAGGCTGCGGAGGCATTTTTTACAAAGGCAGGGAGTGACAGAACAAGCGGTGATGGCTTTAAACTGGAAGAGGGTAGATTTAGATTAGATATTAGGAAGAAATTCTTGTCTGTGAGGGTGGTGAGACAGTGGCCCAGGTTGCCAAGAGAAGCTGTGGATGCTCCTCCCTGGAAGTGTTGAAGGCCAGGCTGGATGAGGCTTTGAGCAACCTGGTCTAGTGGAAGGTGTCCCTGCTGATGGCAGGGGGGTTGGAACTGGATGAGCTTTAAGGTCCCTTCCAACCCTGACCATTCTATGATCCTATGACCTGTTTCCTCTTGTCTTCTTTCCACATGACTGCTTCTTAATGTGCTTGCAGACTGTTGGTGTGGACATGCCTTATGGCATGTTAACATTCCAGACACACTCATGTACGGGAGATCCTGCATGTTGTGGTCAAAGCCAAGCCTAAGCAGAAAGTCACAAACATAGCTGTGAGTTCCCAAAAGCACCTAAGACATTCTGATTGCACCTCCCAGGTGTAGATCTCCATCCCATGAATGAATTCTACCATTGATTTTTGAGGGAATAAGAAGATACAGAATTTTTTAAATGTTTTCACCATGATTTTAAACTATTATTTTCTGTTTCCTTTCCAGCCCTGGTGTCGATGTATCACTACTGTCTACAATTATTTTGTGGTGACCAACTTCTTCTGGATGTTTGTGGAAGGCTGCTACTTACACACGGCTATAGTGATGACTTATTCCACCGATAAGCTGCGGAAATGGGTCTTTCTCTTCATAGGATGGTGTAAGTGCCTCATGTGTTTAAAATGGTGTTAAGTTGTATCTAGCATTAAACTGATAAAGTCAAGAGCAGCAAGAATAAACTTTAAAAATCCCACTGTGGTGAAACCTGACATTCAAGCCTATCTTTGTCAGAAACACCTGAGATCAGGTTTAGTTCTTCATTGTGGTGATGACATAAAGCTAACAGGTTATTCCTGGATTTATCTTCTTCATTTAGATCCTCAGGCACCTGGTATTAAGGAGAGAAAGAGAACTCCTAGGCTTAGCATTTTGGGAATGCGGCAGTTCATACTACGTCCCTTTCATTTTGATCAGCAAAGCAGTGATCACAGCCCCTTATACACCACTGTGCAACACAACATGAAACAGAAAAGGCTCTGTACATGCCCTTTGGACCAGTCTCAAGAGACAAATGAGACAGTTCTGAGTGAGGAGCTGACTAGAAGAGAAGCCTAATTATCTGCCAGTCCAACTTTACAGCTGTCTTTTGGACTGCTGAAGGATTTGTTCCTAGAAAACAGCCCTTAACAGAGCCATGTCATCTTTATATTATCCTCATGGCTACTCAAAGACAGAAAAATAGCTCATTGCATGCTGTTACCTCCCTTCTACTGCATCAGCCTGGACCAGAGCAAAGGATGCTCCTTTTCCCTAGCTACATCAATATAGTCTGGTCCAACAGTACAGCCTAGAACCAACTGTCAGAGGAGCAGTTATGATGAAAAGGATGTAGGGCTTCTAGTGGATGCAGGCTGAGTAGTACCCTCTCATCATGAGTAAAGTAAAGCACGTACTGTGCTGCACTAGGAGTGTGGCCAGAAGATTGAGGGAAATTACTAAGACTTTTTACTCAGCTTTGGTAAGGCTGCCCTTGGAATACTGCGGTCAGTTTTGTATCTCTTAGGTCAAAAGAGATATGGAAAAACTCAATATTATCCAGAAGGCTGCCAGTATGCCTAAGAGTCTAGAGGACATAACCTCTGAAGTGAGGCTGAGGAAGCTCAACTCGTTTAATCTGGCCAAGAGGAACCTAAGGAAGGATCTGTTAGGCACCAGGAATTATTTGAAGGATAATTACAAAGGTGATGGAGCCAAATTCTTCTTGGCAATAGCAGATGTTATGAGAAGGGGCAATGGCCACAAATTACAGACTGGGAGATTCCAGTTGGACATTAAGAAAACACAAAATTTACCCAAAAGGTAGTGCAACACTGGAACAGATGACAGAAGCTGTGGAATCTCTGACTCTGGAAGTACTGAAAATTCAGCAGGGCTAAACCCTGGCTGAGGTGGGCTAGTGTTGATACACTGCTCTACTTTCAGCAGGAAATTGAACTGGATACCTTAAGAGGTCCTTCCCAACCAACATATCCATGATTTGAACTTGGCCAGGAGAGGTTTAGCAAGAGAAGTCCCTTGCGGGCAATTTGTTCGCTTGAATGCAAAATCTGGAGTCAGGCAGAACTAGTGAATTTGGCAGTTCTTTTTCTGTTGAAAGAGAAAAGGTGGAAAAAAAGTCACAAATCTTTTCTGAAAGTAGAATGACATATTGTTCAGAAATGCCTCTTCCTCTCAGAATTGAGTAGAAGTAATTGAATTGCAGTTCTGAAGGCAGAAACAGCCTTTAGACCGAAATATGTTATTCAATCCAAAATCAAACAGGAGAAAAGAAGAGTTGTAGTAGAAAGAATATGTTTATGTTGGAAATTGATTCTTTTTAAAAAAAAAATTATTTCAGTGTTTTCAATAGAACAATCACAATGTCTCAAGTATACCAAGATAGGATGACTTATATTTAGAGTCTTCCCCTTCATTAACCAAGACACTCCTCATACAAACCTGAATCTATGTCTGTCTATCCATCCATATATGGGTTGTGAATAACTCCTGATTTTTTGCTGTTACAGGTATTCCTTGCCCAATCATCATTGCCTGGGCCATTGGCAAACTATATTATGAAAACGAACAGTAAGTGATGTTAACATTTGTGTTTATGTGACTCTCTAAATAAATTAAGAAATGCCTGTGGGCTGAACTGGTAATTTAGAAATCAGGCTGATTGATAGGAAAGAGGAGAGCTCAAATCACCTCCCTCCAAATCCAGACCATCTCAGATTTCAGAGCTCTACTTGAGTTAACTCCTGAAAATACCTTTCCCAAATATCTTTAGCCAAGCCCTGAAGCTGTCATTTGATAACTTTATTTACAGTCAGGCTATTCTCCTTCAGTGGGAGTTTTGCTTGAGTAAGACCTTGGTAAAAACTAGAATTGAGTGCTAAAGGGTTTAGCCTTCTGGTTGTGGAGAATTCAGTTGACAGTCTGCCAAGAACAGTCTTATGGCTGGAATTTTTGCATTTCTCTTTCTGCCTTTTCCAACTGGAAGCAGTTAATGCATGAAAATTTAAAAATATGAGCGATAAATAGGCTTTTATGTTTTGGGAATTTTTCCCCCAAACGTCAATACTGGTCAGATATAGGTCAGCTTGTACTTTTCAACTAGTATTTGGATCAATGTCTATTGTCTGTTATAGCTCCATTCCTTAACCTTAAAAAAAATTATTTTCTCCATGAATCTATTTTTCATATGACCACACTGTTTGTCTGTCTGTAACGCATCTGATTAAATATAAGTGTCTACCTTGTAGGTGTCTGCATCTGCACTAATCTGTGGTCTGTTATGATCAGCGGTGATCAGTCAAAACAATAAATGCAGTCTGGGGTGCATTTCATCTCATCTGGAAGGAAATGTCCAAAGTAGGTTGGATGAATTAGACTTATATGCACTATTTCTCCTGACTCTAATGGAGATGGATAGGATGACTGGCTGAGCTTTGGGCATCTGTGCTGTAGGGATGGGAGGAATTGTGTTATGCACTAAGTTCCTCTTCTCTGCTCCTCACAAACTTTCAAATTCTTGACCAATCTCTCTTCTGTAGCTTTAATGGTGACTTTGAAGGTGATAATCTAATTCCCAGCAGTTACATATCAATCAGACAGACACCCTTTCACTGAGGGAAAAGTTTTGTGTGATTCCATCCCTGCCTACAGTACTCATACAGGAGAATTCATACTGTAGTCTTAAAATGGCAAGAAAAACTTCAATTGGAACCTGTTCCTTGAATGTCAGTGTCCAAGTCAATCAGCCATGGGAGATAACTTCAGATCACCAGATTTCCCTAATTTCAGTGCTCACAGATCTTCTTGTTTCTGAATGGGTAAAGGATCACAGCATGCTGGGTCTACTTCATAGTCAAGTTCCTTGTAGTTTTTGCCTTGCACAAGCCAGAGTAGCTTGGCAGCTATCTCATTGTGCTGAAGTAGGACTTCCAGCTCTACAACTAGAACTGAAGGAATTAGTCATCTTAAACAACACAAAATAAAATAACCAAAGCTTGTATCTTGAAACCTGAAGAGGCAAAACACCACATGCTTTAATAATGGTGATTCAACATCAAGGTTTAAACTCATTTTGGGAGACTGCTCATCGCTTCCAAAAGAAATAAAGGAAGGTAGGACCCCTGATAGAAATGTGCCACAACATCTGTGATCACACTGCACACAAGGTGGCTGGATGGAGAAACCACCGCATCTGTGCCAGTGCATTCTGTCACCATCATTTTATACATGCAAAATGAATGTGAAAGCATCTCCCATTGATGTATCATAGATATGAAGAAAGACATGATATGTTTATATATGTTCATATAGGTATGTGTGCTACTTGTTACCAGCAAAGGTGTAACTGGCCCAGATCCTGCACAACAAAAGAAACAGGAATATAAAACACAGTCAGCAGGGAAAGAAAGACAAAGTGATCCTGCTTGGTATGCAGAATATCCAATCTGTTTCTGTTGAGTCTCTAGGCTCTTCAGTGGATTATAAAATGGAGCCTCCCTATAAGGGAGGTGCCAGGTTGCTCTTGGTAGACCTAGACAATTAAACCTTGGTTTTTTTAAACCTTGGGTTATTTTCACCTTTCTGTCTTTAATGTTTGGTGTTTGCCCCGGAGTGAATAATTCACACACTACCTCACTGCACATAATAGCTACTCCAAATGCATTGAGAAAGTCCTTTTGGCTTCTGCCCACCAGTGTGAGGTGTAAGGGCCTGGAGCCTCAGTGTTGTGCTCACTTATTGTCAGCAGTAGGGCCAAGATTAATATATTTTACTCTGCTTGGGAAATCAAGACGATTTCAGTATGGATGCTTCAGTAGTGCCATTCATTTGTTCTAGCACCTTCACCCAAGCAGACAGGCAGAGGTCTTGTAAAAGAAGAGCTGATAAGTACATAAGCTGTAAGGCAAAGGCTATTAAATGAAATTTGCTTTTCACATTTGTAGTAATGTCCTAGGTGGGTGAGACTCGGGGAAGCAAATGAACTGAAGCAAAACAAGAGATGTACAACTTGCTCCATTGTCATAAATATTCAGTTGCCTTCTCAAGCATGAAAGCATATGATACTTCAGGTAGTCCCTGCCCACTGAATCCCAGCCTGGGGAAAAGAGCAGATAACGTGTACTCTCCTGCAGCTTCCAAGGCTGTTTGGATATCCCAGAGAACAATTCAGAACAAAATGGGAAACTTCCCTTCTTCATCTGAGTATGCATTTGAATTATAAATTAAGTTGTTTTGAGGTTGAATTGGGGTTTGACTTATGTAGCTTGTAATAGTTTAAGAGCTCAAAACAGCACACTGGAAGAATGTTAAGAAAATACTTCAACCAACTTCCTAATTTTTTCATTTTCTTCTTACTAGAGATGATGTTCTGCATATTGAGGCAAATATAACTGGTACTCTGGCAAATATCCTGTCTGGAGTTTAGCAGTTCTCTAGCAAAATCTGACAACTCTGAAAAAAATACTGTTAAGACTCAATAAAAAACCCACACAAATGATTAAAAATTATTGTAGTCATTTCATTGATGGACAGTTAGTAAGGGGAAGAACATTAGTAAGATCTAATTAACAATAATGATAAAACCAGTGGTGGTTTTTGTTATGTAAAGGACTATCAGAGAACCATGAAGAATATTAATTAGTGCTATTCAACAGAAATGTGTTTACACATCTAAGTCTAATCAGAACTGTCTTCCTAAATTGTTCTCTTCAATATTCAGGAAATGTTTGTTTATTCTTTCAGAGGTAAGAAAAAAAGAAAAAAGAAAGAAAAAAAAGGCTTTTATTTCACACAGATGGAATTAAAATTCTGGTGCACCAAGTAATTTTCAGTGGTTTAGGTTTCTCTTTTTGGTTTTAAAGAAATATGCAGTGCTGATTTTATTGTGGAAATAATAGCTTACGTTGGATTTAAAGGAAGAGTTAAGATGATGACAGGCAGAAAACTTCACAATATCTCAGCTAAGGTCTCAGTTTGAACAGTTAGACTGTAAATATGAAATACAGCTAATCAAATGCAGCCATACGTAATGTCAGTGGCATATCTGTCCTCTCACCCTTACTTGCCTGATTTAATGGGTATATTAGTAATGTTTTGATTACAATGCAACAGATCTGTTTTATAGCCTGATGAGATTAACACCATCCTAGAAAAGATGCTTTTTTTTTTTTTTTCTCCACTAACACCTGGAGCATCAAGCTCCCATGGGGATGCCTGTGTTGTAGAAGTCTACCTTTGGACGCAACCTTGTTCCCTCAAAGTGTGAAAGTGTATGTATATATACGTGATGTTTCACTCAATGCCACCTTGGTCTAATACTGGATTTCGGATAATAAATGTCAGCATTTTGCTCTTCAGTATGGTCTTACAGTTCAGCAATATTAAAATTCCAAGGAGCAATGATCAGCCCTTGCCCTGGAACGTCATTTGTGCTCTTCCAGCTCTGTTCCAAATTCTCTGCTGACTTTTCCTAGCCCACTAAGTTCTGCCACATGCCTCAGTCTGCTTCTTATTAGTCCCTCTGCTAGATTCCTCTGCTAGAACAACCAGCTTCCCAGAAACTCATCTTCTAATAGCCCTTGGTTCTCTGAGTTTAAGACAATATACAATAGTTCTCCCAAAATGCTCTTCAAAAACCTCTCTAAAATATAGGTCTTGAAAGTTCTGGACAGTTGTGTTTCCTGCCTTGGCATAACTTGTAATTCATTTTTCTTCATATCTTTCCATCTCCATAACAAGATAAAAAAAAAAAAAAAAACAACCAAAAAATCAATTTCATTCATTTAAAGCTGCCCTGGGGATTCTTCTTGGGAGGGAGAATGTTATTCCAAGTCTTGCTCTCATCACCAAATTGTAAGATTAATTGAAAAATTATCAATTTACACTAATTTTCAGTAAGTGCACCAGGAATAACAGACATGTTTTATATTTATAAAATATTCAAAGCTCTCACATTCATTTGGAACTCAAAAGATACAGAAATTGAATCAAGAAAAGGCAAACAATTATTTGATACTGAATTGTGTTCCTCGATATCTGCTGCATATCTCAACATTTCTGTACAGTCAGTTCAATAAGAGCATTTTGCAACAGGCAAAGAGCTCCTCTATTTTAGCAAGCAAGACATTTTGGAGAAAGACTTTGAGGGAAAATAATTCCATCTGAACCATAGCTTTCCTTATCTCAGTTTATTTGCCTTGAACTCATTAGGTCACGTCTTCTATTGCACGTCTCTGCAATTTCTTGAGACAACAAGTGTTATTTCTTGCATGCTTGTAAAAGTGCAAATCTACACCTGTCTCCATGGTCTCTTTGGCTCGAGATTTACCCTTGTTTTCATGTCTTCAGTGGCACTAAACTTATCTTTTGTCACAAGGAGAGCACAGGGAAGGCGTAATTTTTGCTGTGTGGACTTGTTATGTAGCATCCACAAAAGGGAAGAAAACTCTCAGACCCTTGAACTCCAAAATCTCCTTGCTAAGGGATCTGGAGCTCCAATGACCTAAAAATTAAGGCACTATGATAGCAAAGTTGCCTCTGCTTGGTGGAATCAGGATCTAGACCATGTGGCTGTATCTGTAATATTAAATTAGCTATGCCTGGAATTGTTCCTGGGGCTGGATTCCAAATAGCATGCAATAGTTCACAACCATATTATTAAACCTTCTTGGCCTGCAAATCAGGGTAGCTGCAGTTTGTAGACTATTGGGAATATCCTCTGGCTCATGCTAGGTCCAGATTTGTTCCCCAAGAATAGTTTGGTAGTTGTCTATTATTTGGCCTGAGGCAAAACTGCAACAAGGAAAATGTAACGGCATAAATAATTGAGTCCAGGCCTAAACTCAGTTTCTTGTTCATTTACTGACATAAATATAACTGATTTATTACTCTCAGTTAAGAGAATGGCAGGAACGTCAGTATGGGTCAGTGTGAAATCACAGACTTAGTCTGTTGTATAATGCAGCAGGGAGAAAAACAGTTGTAATTAGTGGAAGTAAAAGTCAAACCAGCACTCAGTCATACATGACACATCCAGGCTCTCTGCTGGTTTAAAGCCCTTGAGTTTATCTGTGCTTTTGCTTAACATAGGTTGATTTCCTTTTGGTGATGTTGGATCAGGTATTCTCTAGCTTCTAGTGATGCCTCTGTACTGTATGCTGGATTTGGTAGTCACCAGCTTGGTTCAAAGCCAATGGGATGAACTCCTTATTCATCCAGTACCTTACTGAGACATTTCCATCCAGCTTGAGACATATTTGCTGTAAGTAACATCCCTTTATGAAACTGAAGTGTCGCTGGACTTTGCAATAGAAAACAGATTTTTTTCCTTACAAAGAATATTTCTTTCATCCCTTCTTCAGACCCAGCAGGATACATCTTCTACATCCTCCTTATAGCAGGTTCTCACATTTCTTGGAAATATTTACAGGGAGAATAGCCAAAAACATAACGGGAACAAGAATGGTCTAATGGGAGGGGAAAATGGGGCTCAGATTTTTGTCCAAACCAAAAGTGCCTTTATAGCAGAAAACTCAGTCACTTGCCCATTATGTACATGATTAAACAACTTGGGTAATAAGGGAACATATCTCTGTGGTGTCCTTGATATTAAAATCTAAAAGAAGTGCATTCCTCTTTATAAATTATTTTCTTATTTGTTTTGTTTCTTACAGATGCTGGTTTGGAAAAGAGCCAGGGAAATATATCGACTACATATATCAAGGGCCAGTCATTCTTGTTCTTCTGGTAAGCATGTATGTGGGTGGAAGTACACTGCCATCTCCCACTGAGGGATTTGTTAGGCATCTGTGATGTTCCACATCTACTTTTATGTAAAAAAAAACACAAACAAGGACAAATGTCTTCAGCTGTTCTCTGAAATTGCCACAGTAACTAACACTGCAGGTCAGAATTGCAGTGGTCTGGTTTGGGCTGTTTCCTTGACCTTAGGCCATTCTTTCTACCTCCCTCTGTAATGCTGTTTACCTTCCTTTGTATAATGTTTTGAGATGTAGGAAGGAAAAATGTTCAAAAACAGGAGGTATATTATAGTATATGTTCATCCACTTGAAGCTCTTCAGAACTAGGACAATTCTGTCGTGCACACTGATTTGAAAAATATTGTCATCATGGTAAGGAATTGCATCTCCTTGTACAGTCATTTACATCTTCTTCATCCCCATCATTGCTGTTTATTTGTTTGTTAGCTTTCCTGTTGTTAAATTTCCTTTTCAGTGCCGCTTACAGTTAACAGGCTGTTTATCTGTTTACCAACATCCTGTCCCCTGTTCCAATGAGCAGTAGGCAGAGGGAGAAGCAAGCTCATTCATAAATCATTTTGAACCTTCAACTAAAATGCAGTGATGCTTTGCCAGAAAATACTGCAAGTGGAGGGGAAAGATCAATGCTATTAGAAAGGACAACGCTGAAAAAAACAAGCCTACTCTTCCAATCCTTTGTGGTTAAAGCCACCTAAGAACGTGGCAGATATGCTAACAGAGAATTCAGAGGGCTCGCTGCGGTCCCCTCTCTTAGAGATCCAAGACTCCGTATAGCTGAGTCCAACACCCATGGAGAAGGTGCAAATGCTCCAGAATAGGCAGCCACTGACAGCTTTTTCAAGGCTAAGAAGCCTTGAGCTCTCACCCTGTCATTGCATTGTGATTCAGCATGAAGAAAGCTTCTCTGCTGCCTAGGAAGCCAGCTACTAATCTAAATGTTTTCTAACCTGAAATCCGGAGATTTAATTTCTGTGTTAATTATTAAGATGCAGCAAACAGATCATATTGTGCACAGCTGAAAAGAGAAAAAATGTAGTAGGAGTCTGGTTTTATGTGAAAATACATTATTTTTATGTTCTAAGGAGAGAAATACAATTGGTTTGACACACGCAGTATAGTTGTGTGTCACCAAAGGAGCCATCCCAAAAACACAAACAGCCTCACACTAAATTGACTCATTGATACAGCAACTAACTCATGAACAAATCCTATTTAGATAACACAAGGTAGCAGGTTTGCGATACTCAGAGCATTTAGTTTCACATCATTGCCTAGAAGTCTATGAATCTGTGAATCTACTATTACCCCTTTAGTCAATAAGACTGTAAAATCCTTGGATAGCATCTCTGGCGGATACCATAGGTAGTTTAGAGTCATTAAAATAACTTTGTTTTCCCCAGAACAGCACTTTCTATTTAGAGACCTCAAAGAGGCACAGAAAATGGAGGTATCATTGGAGGCTGCCTCTTTATATACAGGTTATTGTATTTGCCTCTAATTTAGAGCAGCTTTGAGACTCCTCTAAACTGAGGCTATACCACCATCAACTGACATCGTGTATTGAACCTTTCTTCATTGGCCTGCACTTGAGCTCTAATTAAACCATTAATGAGATAACAACAGTAATTGCACTGTGGGGTGGAAAGCAGCTGATAATTTAGAGAAGTAACATTAGGGAAAGCCCTTCCTTCACTCTCCTTATGATTACTGCCATCAGAATATGGAAATATAATCGAAAACACAAACCTGAAAATGTGTTTTTAAATCCTGTTACAATACACTCCTGATTCCTAAAATATGCCCCCTTCCTTTTTTTTTTTTTTTTTTTTAGCTGACAGTTGAGTGTTGTGTTTATAATTAAAATACACATCCCCACAGTGTGTTAAAGCAACTTGACAGGCTCATTTTTGATCCTTACGTGAATAAAATCAAATTGCATATAATGACTCAAGCATCGGTTATTATTATTGAAGTTACTGGACCCTTTCAAGGGTGCTGTGAGAAATGCTGGGTTAAGAGCACTGAAGTTTGATGTCTGCCATGTACTCAGGGCAACAAAGTCAAACATCACCCCTCCAGTATGTCAGTATGCCTCTGCCTTAACATAGATGGGGACAAAGTGCTGCTTTCCTTTTCCCTCCAGTGAACAACAGTCACCAGAAATGGAAGACATCATAAGGATTTCAAAAATAGTCCAATTCTGTGACCTCTTTCAGTCACAGCTAATGAGTTGGATTTGAACTAATGAAGAATTGAAATGTTCAACTGAAGTTCATGTTGTATGAAAGAACATACAAGATAATTCCGTGTACTTCTGGAAAGATAGAGACATAGAATCACAGAATGGTTTGGGTTGGAAGGGACCTTAAAGATCATCCAGTTCCAACGCCCAAATGAGAAACATGAATTCTGCTAGAAGAAATTAATGTTATTTCCAAAAGAGGGCTCACACTAAAAGCTAAAAGTCTAAAAATTCAATCAAATTAGTTCCTGTCCACATGCGAGTACTCAGCCTGTGGCAGTTAAAATTGGTTTCAGCCACCTTAGTAAGTTAAGAGCCAAGTGCCCAGTGTACAGCTCAACTGAGTTTTGGTTACCTGTTAGACAGAAGTAGCATCATTATGTGTTCTAAAGACACCATTACATCAACCAGTGGCAGTACGATTAGAGTGATTTTGGTGGTAAATATTAGTTCCAGAGGGATAAAACCTGCTTCCAAAGATGCCAAGTCTCTTTAAAAGATAGGAGGATTTTGTCAAAAATTATTTTTGTTGGTTTTGATTTCTCATTTCTTTTTCTCTATGCGTTGAACTGCTGCAGCACAAGATAGGATAACACCAGGAAACAGGTCATACAGGACTTCTATGCCTCACTGGGAAATAAAGATTGGACAAAAATAAAGCCCTTTGATCATGGTAGCAATCCTCAAGTCCATTTTTAAACCATATTATTCTCTGTTATATCTCAGGGTACAAAAACTTTGAACAATGTAGTAGAGAGATTTGTTTGATTGCTTTCCTGCTTCTCTTTAGAAGAAACTTGAACATTGACTTCAGCTGAAAAAGAGGGGAACAATTTCAGAGACAATTTCAGAGGCAAAGGGAATTGCTTATAAGTGATGATCCTGAATATTGGGTCAGAAACCTGTATTTGTATTGACAAAAAATGTGAAGGAGAAAATGTAGGTAGTCATTCTTCTTTGTTTCATTCCTGAATGGATTTTGGCTTGAACATATCCCAGGAGAGATCTAACCATAAAGTACATTGTATGCTTCTGAAGGTAAAGAAGGGGCAAAGAGTTAAAAATACATACCAGGGAACTGAATTTCAGCCTGATTTTATTAAGGAAAATACATTTCTTGTGTGTAGTTTTAAATGTAATCCCTGTCAAAGAACTGGTGATCCATGAAAACAGAGCAAGATGAGAGGATGAACCTCGGAAAATAGGCACTGGAGGCAGTTAACTGAGCTGCTTTTTTCTCAGTAACTACTGTTGTGAACTGACCCCAGGTATGAACTGCTTGGCAATATTTCTCAGAGCTAAAATTGTATTAAATTTTCAGTTTTTCAAACAGGAAGATTTTTTTTTTCCACCTCGAACCTTACATTCAGTTTTAATAGATTTTTTTCTCTTGTGCTTGAGAACTGAACAGGTTTGTAACCTCTATTTTTTGGGTCTCTTTGAAAGTAGCTCATCACAATCAATTAACTGCTGGCTTAAGTGGGTATAGGACCTGATAGGAAGACCTGGAGTTCGCTTCTGTCTCTGCTTTCATCAGTTATTTACTTTTGAACAAGTTAGATTGCTGCTCCAGGTCTCAGTTTCCCCAGCTATAAAAGAAGCTTAATGATACTTATCTTCCTTTGTAAAATGTTTTGAGATCCCTGGATAACAAGTGTCCTAGAAGAGTTAAGTGTCCTTAAGAAGATGGGCTCATCCTTATTGCAATGTGGAATTTTGCTCAGGAGACAGCTGACACATGTACCAAAATGGTCTCTATGATGTGCTAATCATTAACGATGTAGCATTTTTATGGTGGCAAGATCAAAGCTTTCCCCAGTACTCAAGGTGTAACCGCACAAATGGATTTTTATAACAGCATCCTCTTCTCTGTTTTATTTTCTTTTTCTTTCGCAGTAGAATCATAGAATCATAGAATGGTTTGGATTGGAAGGGACCTTAAAGATCATCCAGTTCCAACCCCCCTGCCATCAGCAGGGACACCTTCCACTAGACCAGGTTGCTCAAAGCCTCATCCAACCTGGCCTTCAACACTTCCAGGGAGGGGGCATCCACAACTTCCTTGGGCAACCTGTTCCAGTGTCTCACCACCCTCACAGTGAAGAAATTCTTCCTAATATCCAATCTAAACCTCCCCTCTTTCAGCTTAAACCCATTTCCCCTTGTTTTGTCATTAACTGCCCTTATGAAAAGTCCTTCCCCAGCTTTCTTGTAGCCCCTTCAGGTACTGGGAGGCCGCTGTAAGATCTCCCCGGAGCCTTCTCTTTTTCAGGCTGAACAGCCCCATCTCTTTCAGCCTGTCTTCATAGGAGAGGTGCTCCTATGTAATCCAAACACTTTTTGTTTCCTTTCTTGAGTACCACTGGGAACAGAGATGAAGTTTTCAGGGAGCTAGCTGGTGTAATTCCAACATTTCTTTTGTGAATGAAAACACCAAAGCTTATAACTCGTCACGTAAAGTTAAGATTGCTTTACTTCCCCATTGTGTTACCTTTATATCATGTGATTTCGTGTGCCATGTTATTGCCTGGTCACTTAGTATTGTGAGTCCCTATACGGCTCTTTGCAATCTGCCTTTATTTTTGCTATCCTGAGTAGTCACTAAAAATCTATCAGCCTCCTCCTCATTTCCTTTTATAGATCGCTAAGGTCTATGTAAAACAGCACAGATTTACCAGTAGCCTCTCTCCATTGAGAAAACAGACTATATATAAATATATATA